CGGTGTTGGGTTCCAGCAAGGGCGTCGACTCCTTGCATCAGCCACCGAAGCGGGGCAACAACGCGGAGAGATTGCATCATCTGCCCTTGGCGAAAGAACACCTGGAAATTGCATCAGCCTTCCCGAACTTCGAACACCACGTGAATGCCTGGAAGGCCCCTCTCTCGCTCCGCGGACCTTCTCGCCCTCGGAGGGCTATATAGCATGGGCTCAAAGAGCCCGAAGTCGCCGACTGCCGATTAACCAGTCGACCATGCTACTTGTATATTCACTGTATATAAAAGTTCTAATTCAGTAGGCCTACTCCAGGCCTGTTTCTTCGGGCCATGCTAGCAGTGAGCCACAGCCCCGACTCTTGGTTCCGCGCCTGAGGTCGTCACCCTCCCGAACGCAACAGCGTGAACCCTTCTCCTCAACCTGCGATTGGCCTGTTGTTGCGGTTGTTTGCAACGCAGCGGAGGGACGCACGCACGTGAACAACACGTGCATGTGTCCCTCCGTCGCTATGGCAACTGAAGCCTCTCTTTTCGCTTCTCCCCTCTTCTTCGAGCAACCTCCTTGCCCCGCTTGCGGCTAGCGCCGTTATCTAGTGTCGCACAGGGAAGCGTGCTCGCTGGGCCGGTCGGTCGGCGGGCTGTTCCACAAACCTCACTATAACCGGTATTTCCCTTCGCGCGCCTGCATTTTAAGCGGTATGTAATTACATGGAGTTCTATGGGAGGCGAACCGGTAGTTTGAAAAAGCCGCGTTGTACCCGGTCCTGCACTATAAGCGGTTACGTTGTAAGTGGTCTATACTGTACTTGGCGTTTTTCATCTAACGACAACTCGGACTCGGCGTATAAAGTTCAGAATGGGGGATGTATGGAAAGCACCCGTGGCGAGTCGTAAACCAAGATGATGCACCGGATCTAACATTTTCAGAGCCGACTGTCGTGCTGATCCATACACTATAGCACCATAATAAAGACGGGATCGCATAAGGGAATTGTATAGGTGCAGCAGATATCGTTTATCTGATCCCCAAGTCTTCTGAGCCAAGACTTTCAAGAGGTACATACTTTTAAGGCATTTTTCCTTAAGACACTTCAAGTGGGAAATAAAAGTAAGCTTTGTGTCAAAGGTCCCACCCAGAAACCTCTGCTCATTTTTAACAGGCATGGCGCTTTCAGTTCGAGGTCTGGAATCAAAGGTAGCTCATGGCGCAAGGAAAACGGCACACATGCTGGTTTTTCTGGAGAAAACCTAAAACCATTTTCATCCGCCCAATTACCAAGTTTGTTTAGAGCTAACTGAAGCTGGCGTTCACAGGTGAACTTGCAACAAGAGGAACACAATATTTGAAGATTGTTTGCATAAGGTGAGTACGAGATGGAAGACGGGAGGAATCTTGCAACAGAATTTATCTTGACCACAAACAAGGTGACGCTTAGGATGCCCCCCTGAGGAGCTCCATTTTCTTAAACAAATGGATCTGACCAAGTAGAGCCCAGCTGAACCTGGAATGTCCTATCTGTCAAAAAGTCTCCTATAGACTTCACCATTCAGCCCCGAGTACCATAGCTGTAGAGGTTTTTAAGCATTCCAACCTTCACGGGGTATCGTACGCTTTTTCTAAGTCAAAGAAAACAAAGATGCAGTGTTGTTTATGCACGAATGCTTTGCGGATTATTGTTTCCAAGTGGACTAAGTGATCCACTGCAGATCGTCTGCGACTAAAGCCACACTGGTTATTTGCAAAGAGAGTCTCTTTTTCTAAAAGGTACATCAAAGGAGTTGTGCAATAAATTCAGTGCTTTGCTCAAATAATTTGGGAGTTGGTGTCTCGACCTTTCTAAAGTAAAGAACAAAAAATAGCTTTTGCCTGCATGTCCTAGTTTTTATTTTAAAAATGAACAAAGATTGAGGTTTTCGGCACCTCTCAACTCCTTCACCATCTTTCGAGTCACGTGCACTGTGACCTCAATGGGGGTCGCGCAAGGTTCCGGTGAAGCTCTCTCTCTAGAGCCATTAGTGAGCAGCGAGAACTCATCTGCTCGCGACCACGTGACCACGTGCTGGTGCAGCACGAACAATATGGTGAGAGGAGTGGTCCAGCCATCCCTGTGCGGCTCTGTTCCCGTCCCCCTCCGGCTTCTGGCGGCTCTTCGCGGTAGCAGATAGAGCTCACGAATTTGTTGACCTCGGATAGATGGCAGCGCTAAAACTCCATAAAATAAAAGTTTTGTCGATGATACCAGGTTTTCGGCACATTTATATTTATGTTGGAACGACAATATTTATAGAAAATTTACCTTTTATCGAGCAGGTATTCATGCAACTTGCTATCTTTCTACAAGATCCCCATTGATGTCATGCCGTGTGGTCCTCATGGACGCCGCTCGTGGCTGCAGGTCGGGGAATATTCTCATTTCTGTCTCGCGATTACGCGGCAGAATCGCAACATTTCGAATTAAGGAGGTGTGTTTTCTGTCCTTTGTGACAAGATAAACAATGTCAAAAGTAGATGCCAATTCTTTCAACGTTAAAATCGTTGCACAGCTCTTTTAACCGTTTGTTAATCAATATCTGATATGTATTCCCCAGGCAGCTAGTGAGCGCAATGGGTTGGTAATTGGAAGAGTCATGTTTCAGAAGCACTATAATGTGAGCCCGCTTCCGTGCCTGGGGGAAGCGTGCCTTCTCCCAGAGTTGAAAAAAAGAGGAGGGTTCTAAATCACGTTACAACTTTCGAAGCACAGCATAGTGCAGTGCACATCTGGCCCCGGTCTATCTCTCTCACTTCCTTCTGTGTCATGTGGTACAAGTTGCAGGGACAAGGAGGAGCATATGGGGCTATGTGCGCACACTTTTAGGATGTATGCCACAGGTCTACTGATGGCTGAAGAGCTTTTTGTTGTCTGCCAAGCCAAAGCAATGGCTACAGTAGAACAAGTGCTTGCTGCCACCCAGGCCATTGCCGAGAGTGTGGTGACCTGATCCCGGCTATACTTCCCTCATCCCCTAAGCTGACAGTAGGGTGGGAGCAACGCGCGAACCGGACCACTCATCTGCCTTCCTTTTGTCACCTGACCCCACTGTGCCTGTGGGTAAAACCGGGAGCGTGATCATGTGGCAAGAGGCGTACATATGATTGGCCCAACGAGAACGTAGTTCCTACAGTAGAACCCCATCGATAAGTTTCCAGTTCTTGCTATTTTATTGTTGATACATTCGCGACTAGAGACAAGGAGAATGTCCCAATAAATGTAGGCCTGATTTTTTCAATTCATACGTTTCTGGATCTTATGATTTCCCGGGAAGTATGCTCAACATCTCGACATACATCGATCCAATACAGTCAAACCTCGATGTAACGAAGTCGGTAAAATTCTGAATTCACTTCGTTACATTGAAATTTCGCTACGTAGAAATTCGAGGCTAACCTTAAAGAAAGTTTCCACAAATGTTTCTCAGGTGAACAAGACTCACCGAGGACGCCTCTATTTCTGTTGAAAGTAGTCCATCACCTTTTTCTGAGCCACTCTTGGCATTATTATTTGCATCACACGACGTTCGCATAGCCAGACGACCTGCATTGCGTTTTAGTCTTGCTGTGGTATCGCGAACCGCCTCAAGACATTGATCGCGTCCACCATTTCAAGGTTACTGGGGGCATCGCAGGTGTCTTGCTCATCAGGCTCGATGTTGTCCCAGTCTTGCGAGTTCCCACGAACATTGCTAGCTATCGCCTCGTCGGTCACCTCCTCCGTCGCAGTGGCGGCAGAGTCGGCGTATAGAAAGTCGTCGTAATCGACGTTGTCAGGAGCGGCTACATTGCCTTCAAGGCTCCATCGCCCAGGACGAGAAACGCATGCTTTTAGTTAGGCCTCAAATGAACTACTCAGCGCGAACAAAGTCGATGGGCAAAACGACGGCGGCTCTAGTGTCCTCTAGTAGCCGTTCTGTACACCACACTCGCCAGATTCGGACAGTTTCACCCTTTGCGCTTTTTCGGGGGCCCATTTCAGCGGATGTGCTAACCAAAATCTCCTTCGGGACCCAAAAGTTTGTGACAAATTGTCCATGCAATTTCGTTATAATGAAATTTCGGCAAACGGGACTTTGTTACAAAGAGGTCAAAAATACATGGCGTGCATACACTTGCGGTTAGAAAGAGTTATGTACTTTGTTACATCGGGGGTTTTGTTACATAGAAGTTTGTTACATCGAGGTTTGACTTTGCCAATAGGACAATGAAATCCCGTCGTGCAATCGGCTAATTCCCTTCCAGTTTGAAGCACCATGGGTTTAGTAAACCTTGGCGCCTGTTCTGAAATCGTTTCGCAGCAAATGATGTAAAGTATACAGTGTGAAGAGACACTCTCGTTAATATAGTGCAATAAACTTCACCAGTGAGGATTTGATTTACTCAGTTTACTAGGCCTAGTCCACTACAGGAAAGGACTGCAAGCTTCAATGCATAGAATAACGATATCGAGGTGTTCACACCTCTATCTGTAATCATAGAGTCTGCATGCAGTGCTTGCACTTGTTGAAAAGATTAAAGAATTGAAACCGCACCGCCGGCCCATACTAACCGCTTTTCTTGTAATCGCGTGACTCCCGTCATGTTTGCTTTCTTTTTTTCAGTTCTGGCGAGGATATGCAATTGGCCAAAAATAAGGCTCCACCAAGTGATTGCTCCATCTCATATCGCAAATTTCAAGGGGCAAAACAGAATCAGTGCATTCTCTTAAGTGGCTTAGGCCTCCATGTCACTAGGGATCACTCTTGAGCACTCCAGCAAATGCTTCCAAGTGGCTTTGAGACATGCGACTCTAGTAATACTAGTAACTCTATTATGTATAAAGAAGAACACAAACAAAACACACAAACCTGCCACCACACTTTCACACTTTCAGCTTAAGGGTGAACGGACTATATTGATGTCACAGAGTGCAAAAAGAACAAACGAAATGACAGCGCGGGGAACAGATTGGTGGGATATTGCCTACTTACCCTCTTGGCCTCCTCCTGTGCGCGCTCCTTCTTGATCCGGTTCAGCTCAGCCATCAGCTCGGCCGTGTCGTCCTCTTCGCTGTCGTCACTGTCTTCCTCCTGCGGGAATTGTGACTATCAATTTCAGGATCTGCAAATGCGCTTTGATCCAGGGCTTGGCTCTGATTTTGGTCAACAGGAAAGTGAGATCTAACTGGCTCTCATGAAACAAGCTAAGATATTGTTCACATATGGTTTGTGTGCTAGCGAACGTCACTTGCGCATGGAAATAAGACGACACAACACTTTCAACTCGTCTGCTAACGAAACTGAAAATGGGTAAGTGCCTGAAACAAACCAAGTGGCATGGCAAAGTGATAGCAGACATGGAATGCATTGACTAAACAACCTGCTAGGAGATGGCGCCACCGGCCCATCACATCTCGCGTCACCGCGCACCGCTTGGGCGCGGCCCAAGCCATGCGCATAACAAACCAACGGACGGTAGACAAACGGCAGCTATGAAAGCCGACGCCTCGTCGGTCGCTTATCTTGTTATTAAATAAAGCTATGTTCGAATACAAAACATAACAACTGGCGACAAAGTATGGGATCATGGATACGTGACCAGCCTGGACGACATCAACCCCAGATGCAAGTGATCAAGCGGCTCCCTGAAGAAAAACTACGCGAAATCCAAGCGCAGATTCTGAAACTATAGAAATGGCGACGTTTGGCGAGGTGGAGGAATACGGCAACAAGGAGGCTTGGTTGCTGCATACGGAACGGCTGAATGCTTTCTTCAATGGACTTGGCCTCGAAGACGACGAAAAGAAAAAGTGGGTTTTCCTGTCGACCATCCGAACCAGCACAAAGGTTACCCTTCGCAGTCTGCTAGCACCGGCAAAGCCGAAGAAAAGGAGTACAAGGAGCTCATAGCTGCCTTGAACAACCGCTTCAGCCCGCCCCCATCAGAAATCACCGAACTTCCACCACTGCCGAAGTTCGGCGACTTCGGCAGTGGCCGACCACTGCAAGTTCGGCACAGCTCTCAACTGCATGCTGAGGGACTGCCTCGTATGTGGCATTTTTTGGGGCGAAGCTCCTTAGGGTCTAGCCTTGTCCGGCGTCCGTGCTCACATCGATTGCCATCCCATCTGTCTTCTTAAAAAAAGAAAAAATGTTTGCGCAGTCGACAGGATTCAAACCTGTGCGGGGAGGCCCCAATGAATTTCTAGTCCATCGCCTTAACCACTCGGCCACGACTGCAGGACGAGTAGGGGGCTCTGAGATGTGGTGGTAACTCAAGAGCTGGGGATGTCATGGATGAAACGTTGCATGGAGCCGCTCAACGTCTATACAGGAGAGGGCGCTGCGGTCAAATTTATATATAATCGCATTAAACTTTGCATGCATTGGCTCAACATTTATAGACGAGAGGGCGCTGCGGTCAAATGCTCAAATGCGTATATAACCACGTTCCATACCACACATTCTCTTTCTGGCATGGATGAAAATGAATGAAAAGCTCGGCATGCTGCGGCTCAGCGTATCAGCACCACCAGAGCTTTGCCCCAATCAACATCATTCACGACGTGGAGATGCAGTCATTTTTTAGGAATGAATTTTGCCAGAGCACAGGGTCAGTCGTTCTGAAAATTCATTTCTTTTTATCTTGGACGATTGACAACAAGGGGTTTCCCCATTTATCTCAAGGTTTGTTCAGTACAATGGCCCAATGAACTTCTGGACCACGACAAAAGCTACTGTTTGGGTTTCCAGTTTGAACCATACTATATGTGCTTCTTATGTCACATTTGTCTGGGGTACACCGCAACGCACCGCGCTGCACCGACGGACGCTTCACGTTCGCCTGGTCGTGTCAGTGCGGCTGCATTACGTTCGCGTGGGACTTCATGCGGCGCGCGGCACCGGTGCGTTGCTGCACCAGCTGCGCCGTCGGAAGGAGACCATGCAGGTCCTCGCACTGCGACCTTGAGTTAATGCTCTCCGCTTCCTTCAGCATCTCCTCTCTCTCTCTCTCTCGCCTCATTGTCAGTTTTCCTTCCTCGTCTCGCGAAACGTGGCGGCCCGCAGCTGGAAAAAATGTGATGTCGGCACTGCTATCTTCCTTCCCTCAAGCCCTCTGCTCTGGCTATGATTCCAGCAGTGACGACGGGCGTCGTTTTTCTCTTTTCGGAAAGTGCGTGTGTGTGCGTGCGGTGCTGCGTTGCGTCGGCCGCCAAGCAACCAGTTTACTACGCCGGGCACGTGAAGCTTTCGTCGTTCGTCGGATTCAAGACATCGGTGAGTCTTCGGACTTCGTTTGAACTTTTCCCTGGACTTTGGGTCCCACAGAGGGGACTTTTCTTTTTCAAAACTTTCATCTTCTTTGCACTGGTGAACTTGTTACCCGGCTGCAGTTTGTGCCGCAAGCGGTGAGTTGTTTCGCATTATGTTTTTTTCGCGGCCCCGCTGCCCAAGGTTCGTGAGTGTGTTGTTGGAGTAACGCGTGTTCGGCATTTCGTTCTGATGGTTTTGTCGTGCTGTCGCCGTGCGCAGCTTTTTATCACCTAATTAAATTTCTTGTTTTTCTTTTAACCCCTGCGTGCCTGGCCTCTGTTGATTTTCACACCGGACGTGTACCTATCGCTTGTCACCAGTCCGACAATAAAATCGCATATGTGTAAACGCTCCGTTTCATAGTCCATGTGTTTTTGTTTTTACGTTGGTGGGCAAATTTTAAGTATAACAAGTACATACTTGAACCATCCACTTGAAAGACAATTTGTTACTTTCATTCCTCGCTAGATGGCGCGAGCCGCCGCCCCACTCTTGCGGATATTTTTTACCGTCCACCCGTTCATGTTTTGCCCTAGCAGTGACCGCACTGAGCACGTCGCACGGCGGGATGCTTCGCGTTCGCCTGGTAGAGCGTCATGTGGTGCACCTACACAGTGGCGTGGCCTTGGGGGCGACATTTTCTCGGTGCCGTGCGCGCCCCAGACGAACGTGACATTAGACGGAGGAGGCATTGTGCTTTCATAAAAGTGAAAGATGGGAACCTGTAGATAACCTTGGATGAGAAAGGCAACTGGAGCTCTTGTGTGTCTAGGAGTTTGGCTATTTCAAAGTATGGACGCTTTTTAAAGTAACATTGTTTTGAAAGTATCTCATGGGGAATTAGTACTGCCAATCGCAAAGGCGCCAATATCATTTCAGGGAATTCGGTGCAGGTGATTTCTTAATAAATTTAGTGTATGTTTTGGTTTAGACATTACCAGTGATGTGATTGGCCTAAGCCGTTTTGGAGCACCCTTTGGAGCAGCCAAAACAGTGTTTCGGAGCAGCAAAAGTGACTTTTGGAGCAGATATTCTTAGAAAAATACAAATATCCGTTTGAAGTGCTGGACAAACGAAGGACACTCTGCTTGCCGCAATAAACAAATTATAGTCAAGTTAGACCACCTGGGAGTTTTTCAACATGTAACTGAAATGCCAATGACATGACACATTTTGCAATGCTTCAGTTAAATGATACGTATATATGTACCCGCTATAAGTAAATAAGAACCAAAGTGCACATATGAAAATTTATTCGAAAATTACACCCTTAGTAGTAAATAGCGCAGCATTAGGTTGACTACTGATAAAATAAATGAAAGCAGTCTCCAATGGATGAAACACGTAACTACTGCAGTGCAATGCGAAAATGTCGCGCGAGCGGAGATGGCTGTTTGATAGAAACCATGCCACTCCGCTCCGTCACCAAGTGGTTCCCAAAATTGTATACAAAATGTAACTGTCCAACATACGGCAAGAAACAGTCCAGCGGCACGCGCTTGCCAGGCGGGCAGGCAAGCTACAAGCTAAACACACAGAAAAAAAAAAACCTGAACACATTGATGAAAGACATCGCGAGCCAGGGTTAAAAAGTTCTTGGAGCACTTTGCGCAACGACTGAACTCGATACAAACAAGCGCGCTGTGCGGGTTCAGCGTGCAAACATTGCATTCTTTGCTTTAGCTCACTTTTCTTCACCAACTTTCTTTTGAGGCAGATTTTTCACGTACCTGGGTTCCTCTTTAAAGAGAGCCAACCGAGAGAAACCTAAGTAATCGATACTTTGACAAAGCACTCTTTGAGCTAGAGAATCTTGTAGTAGCGAATTAAACAAGAACAAGAATGCTGATGAACATGCGGCGGTTCTTAAATTTCATTTTAGAAAGCGCCATATCTGCAGCGAACGTGGGGACGGCAACAACCGACGTCGCACGATCACGGTGACGGAAAGGCAGGGACCAAAAAAAAGTGGTTTCGTTTCCTAACATGACGGCATGGCTGGTACCCCAGCACGTTAGCGTCGGAGCGTCCGCACACGCCCGCGTCTATCGTTAAAAAAAAAAAAAAAAAAGCGAGACAACGAGGGCGCGCAGCGATATATGGCGGGAAAATCCGTGCAAGACCGGATGAACAATTGATGCAGGGTACTTTGTGTCGGGCGGCCGCTTGCGCCACCTAGTTCATGCGTGCTCCATTACGGTACTAAGTTTAGTTTCGGTTTAGAAAGACGACCAAAATCGGTCCCTTGGCTTGGCACAGATTACCCATATTTTGGCAAAATGTAGCAGGATGTAGCAGGGCGAGCTCCTTGGCGCAGTTTGGCGCAATTGGCGCAGCAATCACATCACTGCATTACTTATTTCTATTTAAAAATAAGAAAAAAGTAAAATTAAACTCTGAATTTCGGAGAATTCGGAATCTAACAAAAATAAACACCTAACACACAGAATCCTAGTTATAAAAGCTACGTTTTGAGTGGGAATAATTTGGCGACATGAAATCATTATGGATTATGCCATCACTAGCGCTAGCAACATGGAAACGGGGAGCTGCGGATTACGTCCCAGTGAGTCACGAGCCGCATGCCCGCAGGCTGCGTGTTTGAGATCCTCGAGATAAAGGAACCTCGTGCAATCCTTATCTTCCAGGACGAAACTAAAGCTTCCTCTGAGACTCGCTTTTCAGGCCTTGAGGTCTTAATCCCAAAGAAGCAAAGTCCCTTACTACCAACCAATGGCACTCACCTCGTCAATGGAGTCGTCTGCATCAAGATTAGAGGCTGGCACCTGGTCTAACCTCGGCCTTTTTGACGACGATGAGGATGATGACTCTGGGAGTGGAAGATCGAGCAATATTAAAAGGGAGTGCAGTGAACCCGAGCACGGACGCAACAAACAGTTGTCACACTATGAATGAATAGTACTAATGCTAGGTATAGGTTGACATGCATTAGGCAGAGAGAATATTTGCAGCAGGAATCTGGAACTATCACCTAAACCATGCTGGTAGTAATGACTGAAGATTAAAAAATTGGCATTTTCAACGGAACCCTCGAAAGTCACTAGACGCCATATTTGAGGTAACTGCTCACAGCGCATGCCCGGGAAGAGTTTCCCCTCAGCTCTAGGGCAACCGCTTGAGAAGAGGGGAAGGAGAAATCCTCTTATCACCAGGACTCTCCTTTGTAGGTTTCGGGCTTCCCCAAACGTTGCTATTCTCCCTCTAGAAGATTATAGAAGATTAACTTGCCACTCAAAACTCGTACAAAAGCATCTTTCCCCTCTCTCTCTTCTCCGGTGGTAAGAAAGCAGCAGCGAGCTCAGCTATGACCGCCAGTGAATACTCCCTATAGTTTTATAGATATAATCTAAAAATTGCCACTCTAGACCAATTTTAGCCATGTCGTACCAATTTATGCATTTTTTACTCTCCTTCGATTCGCTGGCATATCCACAGCCTTCATCCTTTCAAAGAATGTATCTTCTCCACATCGGAACTTGTCAATGTACTGCACGATACCGGAAAACCGCCCAACCCACCGTCACTGAAAACTGCGTTATTCTAGACATAGGCACTTGTCTGGTCAAATCGGGCACTTAACCCCTTGCCTACTAATAGATTATATTTGATAACATAATCGATTAGTAGATTAATAAATATAATATACTAATAGATTACATTTGATCGGAGAGAGAATGCCATGAGAATTTAGCCAAGAATGAAAAAAAAGCAGTCGCTCGTAAGCGCTTGCACTAGAACAACATGGCTTTTGTGCGGAGGTCAGCTTTAGCCCACGAAGAGATATAAAGCCTTCTTTTTGAAAGTGATCATTGCTCGGGCTTATGCAACGACGAATCTTTCAGGCCTTTCCGATTTTTGAGAATCAGACGATAGTTTTTGATTGGCAGCGACAGGAGTGATGAAAAACAATTTCAATCCTGCGAGCGCTCCATCAACTTTGGCATCTGCACGTCAGTGGGACTTGGACTAGAAGTCCCGATTTAGAACAAGATACCACATCTGGAAGTCGAAGAAATGTTTTTGTCTTATTTTATCGCAAATTGCTCAATTAAAAAAAAATTTTGCTGTACGTTCCTCGAAGAAAAAAAATGAGTAGGCAAATATTTTAATGCAATTAAATGCAAAGGTGCAAGCAAGCTGGACAACAATGACGAAAATAATCCCTGGAGAAGGGGAACAAGAGGGGCAAAGGACAAACACAAATCTCCAAGACAATTACGTGACTGGTGCGCGACCGGAAAAATCCACCTGGTCCTGGTTCGACACCCGGACCAGGCAGATTTTTTCGGCTGCGCACCAGTCCCCTAGCTGTGTTAAAGATTTGTGTTTGTCCTTTATCCATCTTGCTCCCCCTCTCCAGGGATTATTTTCGTCATTGAGTAGGCAAGGGGTTAAAGTGCAACTCAGCTTCATCTTTTGTTTTTGAAAAAACAATGCAGTCCTCTTCAGTACGACCTCAGAAGACCACACGCGGAATGTTATGACCTAGCTGTTTAAATGTTTTTAAACGGTCCAGCAAACTTTGCAATGCGCCAAGTTGCCGAAATCAGCTTACTCTAGTGGGCAACTAACACTGAGTCAAGACTATGGTGTTGGCACAGGCATCATTGAGATAAACGTCGTCGCCATTGCGCCCTTTTCTTTGTTTTTACTTATCCGGGCAAGCATAGCGGGTGACGTCAGCAACATTTCCGCCTGGCACTCAACGGTGTCCACGTGATTGGCGGAACGCGCATCTTGGGAGCCTTCTGTTGTTTTTTTAAAGGCACTTCCTTAATTCGCGACAACTCCTCTATTCTCAATGCCCCCCCCCCCGGCCTGCCAACCCCACCTAAAAATTTAGACACCCCCCTAATTTCAATTACTGGGGAAACCCCTGCTTCTGGCTGTCCCGTCGTTACCGCCGTTTCCTGAGTCACAACCGCCGTCGTGGTCTCGCCGTTTGTGATTATTGTCTTTCGGAGGTTCTTTCACACTATGTGTGCAGACTGATGCCGCAGTTGTGCAGACATTGTCGAAAGTCGTAGACCCCAAAACATGGTGAGGAGCGCGGTGAAGACGACACTGGCACCTGGCACACGCCCGCCCCATTGCCGCCCGCCGTTGCATAGAAAATCACAAGACATCTCTTACCACATAATAGCCATGTTTTTGGTGGCCTGAGGCCAATGCTGCAAAACAGAGCCGAAGTTTCGGTTTCGATTTCTACTCACGTTTAAAGGAGCTATGCAACAATTTTTGGACTTTGCGCAAATACCGCTTAAAACGGATCCCTAACGTTAATGACCTATGAAACACGCGTTCGTTTTTCACCCCACGCAATAGAGGTCCCAGAAAAAAAATTAAAGAAAAAGGAGCAGCGTTCACCCCCTCAACTCGCAGCCAGAACAAGCGGCCACGTGATCTGGAGCCGATTATATGCCGCCAGTGTTGATCATGGCCATGCGCTGGGATTGGCAAAGCGCAGGACACGCGCTGAGTTCCAGACATTGTTATGGCTCGGCTGTTGTCGTCGTTGCAGCGATTGGACACGCGTCACTACCCGAATGCTTCTCGAGCTAGCAATTGTCACGAGCCCAAGTCGAGTGCCCACGCAATGCTCGGGTCCAATCTATGAACCGCATTCAAATATCGTCACTTGGGTGTACTGCGATCCCCGAGTTACGTCATCAAATTTTGCAAAGGAGAGATTGAATGAAAATGACCGCTTTTGTCCTTGAAATTACACCGCAACAAAGGAGTTTCTTGGCCAATGGCGTTGCGTGTGAGTATCCTTGAGTCCCAGGTGTGCCAGTAAGCTCGTGTAGAGAGAAAAACATTCCAACTGAATATCGTTGCACAGCTCCTTTAAAGTAAGATTCCACAATATATATCCTATTTATTGCAAAGAAAATGATGTAGTGCCTTTTATTCATGCTTTTTAATGTAAAATCACTTATTATGTCGAAATTTTGGGAAATTGAGCAGACTTGCCAATAATTTGCAGAATTCCAAAGTTTGAAAAATGTTAATAGTGGGCGCTTGAACGAAATGGGCACCTCCGCAGTATCATACGGTATCTTATATATATCGGCACTTTTTTTTATAAGACAAAAGCGACCATGCAAGGGCAGAACTTCAGCACATAAAAGTTAAAAAACTCTTCCTATCTTCAAGAATGAAGCTTCATACTTAAAACATTTATGCCCCAAAAAAGCTCACCTGAGTATGCTGCTCATGTCATGTACCGCAGCGCCAAAAAGATTTACTGGACTATACATAAGGTAGATTCGCCAGCACCAAGTTAAAAAAAAAAGTATCCCTTTTTTTAGAGCTCTATTATGAACTACGGCTTTCTGAGATGCTACACCTGATCTGCATGTTGATGACAAGCGTGATGAAGCTGGAAACCCGTAGAAACTTCACTGCTAGTGTCGGTTTTGCACAAAACAGGGTGCGGGTTATTTTGCCATTGCGCAATGGTTTCAATCCTCTATAACAATCAACATGTAGCTTTCAAAAGGGGTCCATTAGAGGCGAGATATTTTGGTGCCGCCCTCTCATGGCTCCCATCGGCAACGTCATGACTGGGATTTGCCTCACCGTGACGTCACAAGTTGTGGTCCTGGCCGCTCATCAACATTTACAAACAGCAAGCCTGACGGTGCCTGTAAAACTCACAGTGGAAGCCTGGAGTCGTCGCATTCTTAAAACTGCACCATCGAAGTTGACAGTCTGATGCAGCTCTACTTTTGTCGAATGCAAAATTAGTCGCACTAAAGTCACCGACGGAGGGAGAACAACAGGTCATGTCTTTCAAATGACCGGCCGAATGCCCCGCCTACACCGCCGGCAGTGGGAGCAGCGTTGGGGAAGCGTCCTCACCTCGGCCACTCTTCTTTCCGTCCCGCTCGTGCGTGACTATGCGCTCGCGTTCCTCAAGCTCTCGGCGAAAGTCCTTGGACTTGAGTTCGTCGCTGGTCCCCTGGCCGGGTTGCCTGATTGGACGGAACATGGAGGACGTGAGCGAATTTAGGGCCTCCGTTTCGTACATAGTGTGCAATGCTGTCAAGGCTGTTGGTTCGAGCCTGTGCCTTGATCACCGTGCAAGATGCATACAGGTGTGGAAACACAGCATGGTAAACACTGCAACACAATCAACCAGATAAAGCCCCATAGGCGCACGTCTGAGTAGCCTATGCCGACAGCGCCTTCACCAATTAGATGGTGCCACTGAGAAAGAAAATGTCTTCTTGCCATGACACTTGTGCACGTGCTTCTCCCTTGGCGCGTCTGCTCTCACCTTCACAGACGCTGGCTTGAATATCGCACCAGAGGTCTCTCCTCTTCAATGTGTTCATAAAACAGTTCTTGTCGTCATTGAGGCACAATACATGGCTCAACGAAGTTGTGCATAAGCAACGCGTAGCGCTAGTGCTAAGTTTTACATGATGCGTCACGCCCAAAAAACGACTTTAAAAACAAGCATGTCCATACATAAGCATTGAAAACCAGGCCCGCGACAGGCTTCCACTAGCCGCTAATCGAAGAGTCACCTGGTGGCGCCGCTGGCAGGCATAACAAGAGGACCTCATGTGGCGGCTGCGACGCTCGCGGTATCCATACCTATACGCATCTTACACCGTGGTCTTTATGCAACGTTTAATTTGCACGAGCTTTCGTTGAAATGAGATGCTAGATGAAGCTAAGCGCTCGAGTTGGTAGCTTTGACAGCGTTCTACAGAGCACGAAACGGATTCTAGCCTGTCCGTCCCACTCACCTGTATTTGAGTTTGGTGTGGCCCGGGAGATCTCTGCTCGAATACTGCTTCGAGAGAGCACCCAGGTCTTTCTCGTTACGCCCGCCGCCTCCCCGAGCCGGCTCGAATGTGGGTCTGGCAGCGGTGGTCATTGCGGATCCCTGAAAGACGGTTTCGCAAGTGAGATCGACGCCGACTTCTGTGCGCGAGATCGACCAAGCGGCGTTCGTATCTCACTTCGCGGCGCTACTGCGAGTACTGTTACGTCCTTTGACGACACCGCAAGCTTTTCAAAGCGACAAACGTGATTCGTACGGGAAATAAATTTAGATATATAAGGACTTACTGACCCTAGCCGCTGCAACGCTACGCCACCGAAAACAACAGAATATAGATGTCTACCACGATCGGACTTTTGATTTTGGGTATCATAGTTGCCAGATGATTTTCAACAACTAGCTACAAATCACCACAAACTTGACACTGACTCTTAATCAAAAAAGATTTTTTGTAAGAATGTGGACAAACCTTAAACACAAAAAAAATTGTTTTAGAAGACATAAGTGGGTAATTTTAAATTTACGCATTACGACAGGCGGCAACAATATCTCAAGGTAGAAGTTAGTTTCAGTTTCGTTTTAAATCAAAATGTGTCTACGAGCTAGTAGCAGCGGGCAAAAAATATAAGCAAAGAGAGGAATGAACAGGACGACCGCCGAGTTTGTGATCCTTTGTAACCAGTTTGTAATCATAAACCAACTCGCCTGCATCGCTCGATTGATTCAAAATGTGTCTCGTAGCCTAAATATTGTGCGTGTGTGTGTGACTGGAATGTCGCGATGTTTGGTAGTTTTTTTTAATAAGAAAAAAAGGCACGCATGATTGCAATTTTTGGTTTTATAGAATGCTATTGAGCATATATTTTGAGTTGTGGCGCTTTCCAACCAGCCAATGAATACATTTTATGCCTAACGAAAACGGTTTACGCGTGGAGCGAGGTCTGCAGCACAGCGCTGCAGTCCTCCCTTTGTAGCATCTGTCGAAATCTGTACCATCTGTTCGTGGCTTTCGCAGCGCTGTTTCATAAAAAGTGTGTCAACGATTAAATATTTTACAGGTCTACCTAAAAGCGTGGTTAGCACTTCTCAGAACCTCTAAAAAACTGGGTGAGCTTTTCTCCGGTGAGCATTCTCCTCTTGATTTCTTTAGATCTGCTTCTACTTGATCTTGGCTTGTGATAGTTGGTTAAGTGTAGACCTAGGAGGCTAGGGCTCATTATAATCGTCAAATTGGCAAAAGGCTCGTTAATTAAAGCAACAGTATCTGGTTATGTCTTTTAACGAACAATAAATTTACCTTTACTGTTTAATATTTTGCGTGCGTGTTACTTTACCCCTCGTCCTTGACTGTAGCCATCAGTGTTGGGAAGTACTTAATTAATGTAGTTATATAAAAAGTACTCTTTCAAGTACGTCTTGATTATTTAGTATTTTACTTGAGATACAGTTCTTAGAGTCGGAATTTGTACTTTACTTAAAATACAGTTGTCTAGTACTTTCCAAGGAAAGTGCGACTCCCGACTTAGAACTAAATTCTCAAAATTCGGCGGTAGTGCGCGGCCACTGAAAATTATCTGATATTCGCCACCATTGGAAAAAATTACTAATCTACAGTCGTGGACGATAAAAAAAGAAAAAGCCCAGGCGAGCGTTTAGCTCCGAAGACCTCCAATGATATAAAAAATATATATATATATATATATATATATATCATTGAGATTATTGCGTGAACGAGCGAAATTTCAGCGGCTGTTCGATTTTTAATGGGAAACGTTCTTTGGATAGGTGCGTTCGGCATTTCGTGAAGCCCTAATGCGGAGCCTGGATAAAAGCGTGGCCGTAAGGCTCGACACTGATTGGTTGACGTGCGGGAGAGGAGTGAGGTGCTTGGTGCTGATTGGTTAACGGGGAGGTCGTACGTGACATCCCCCGCAGCACGAGAACGTTCTGAGAACATTCCGATCAATGTTCAAAAGAACATAGGCAACATTCTTGGAATGTTGCAAATTTAAGCAAGAACATTCTATCAGCGTTGTCAGATTGTGGCTCAGGCAATTATCGCTACATTCGCGGAATGTTTTTTAAGGGCCGGACGTTCTTAGAACGTTCTGAGAATGACATAGAGCATTACCAGGGCATTCAATCAACATTCAAATATACTAACAATGTTCTAAGAACGTTCTAAGAACACCCGAAGAACTTCTGTAGCTTTCTTTAAATATTAGAAATTTATGCAGGGACTTTCAATATTCTCAGAACGTGGAGTGGGTACGCCGTTAGATTCAGAAAACATTCTCTGAGGACTATTTACAAAGATTCCACAATTACGGCTTGCTTAATTAGGCTACAGCCCGAATGAGCTGTACTATATATATGGATGTGATAATGCTCCTCACAGGGCGATATTTTTTTAACCGAAACAGTTTTTTAGAAGACGCAAGCACAAGCTTTCTTAGCGCACCAGCCTGTGCACGTACTAATGACAGTTTACTCCTACCTTTCACTTGTCAACTTCTTTCGTTCAAAATGTGCTGTATGCATTACCGATTACTCAATCCGAGCTTAAGAACAGATACACATGGCATCTCACATTCAACTGGGAGATACTGAAAATCAGGTCCATTCAAAACTGCTCCTCTACATACGCAGTGAGTGCCAAGTTCGATCACTATCAAGTTTTGAAAACCATTGCTTTTCTCCTACACCTTATATCACATTCCCCGCTAGACTCATATAAGACAAAACTAATCCCTTATGAAGTTTCCAGCAACTCCACTTAATTTGTATATTTTGGCACAAAGGGGCATATAGGGGATGGTGTTTCGAACCACAGATTGCGTGAGAGCTCCGTAAAGTTGGCGTTACCTGTGGAAATTCTAGGAATTTTCGGAAGCGAACGTCCCAAGAATGTTGCGCATATGAATGTTCGAAGGGGAACGTTCTGAGAACATTGTGCATACGAATGTTCGGCAGCAAATGTTCCTAGAATGTTGAGCAGCTCACCTTGTAGAGGATGTTCGAATACGAACGTTCCCTGAACGCTCCGAATGGTGTTTTAACGTTCCTTCAACATTAAGAACATACATGGAATGTTCGCACATCATTGGGTGCTACTTGGGATGGGGTGGAGTGAAGAAGAGAGGTAGGCGAGGTGGGAGAGGAGGAGTGGGTTAGAAGATTCCGGAAGATCACCAGGCTTGTCTTTTCAAGTGTACATATGACACGATTTAACTTATGTGATGAAGAGCGCCGTGAACGTAGGCGTCTGGCTGAGCAGGCTGGACGTGCTGCTAAGCTATGAGTATAAACGTTTGTGATGATAAAACTTTCACGTATGTAATACAATGGACCCTTTTCTAAATTCAGTCTGGCAATTTTGATAGCTACCATCACCTAAGTGTGTATCATCCGTACATGCGAATGGTTGCCTTTTGATGGCTGGTCCACTGACCCTTTTCTCGTACCCTCCGCGCCAAACGCCTCACCATTTTTACCCCCCTCAACGCAACAACCTCCGCCGATCTCAGAGAAATCGGCACAACAAGCCCCACAAGTTTGCTCGTTGACAGCATGGTGGCCAAACTTTCTTCCCTTCGTTTCTCCGTGTTCGAAAGCTCATTGGCAAGAATGTAAGGTAAATTTCTCATTTATATTTCTACAAAGACTGTACTAATATATATATATATATATATATATATATATATACGGAAGAAAACGCACCTGAGACGGTTGTTGGAGTTTTTGAAACATATTATTGGTAAAGTTGGTCGACGTTTCGTTTTTCTCTCTCTCTCTCTATATATATATATATAAATATAAAAAACGAGATTTTTATTTAACAGTTTTTCACTTTTAAAAATTCATTAAACACCAAGAACTGGGACACTATTCTCGAAGACACTTCTAACCAACTTTTGAAACTTTTAATCAAAGAGAGTCTGCATGTAATCAAACAAATTGACCTTAAACTGAGATCTGTCATTGCCCAAAATACTGAGGAAGAAAATAATGACCTTAAAATGTTTGTGATCAAGAAACTAGATGAATTACAGAATACTAAGGCTAAGAAGGCGTCTTGCGACGATCTGTCCCTCTCGGTGGTTAGCACTGAGGACATTTTGCCTGCTTCGAATACTGTTTCAATTGAACTTAGTGACTGTGCTGTCTTTAATTTCTCTGATTCCCCTCGCCCCTTCTGAGATTTCAGTTATTTCCAGAGGCTTAGGTTGTGTATTTACCCAACGTACAGCTAACGATTTTGAGCTTTTAGATTATCTACAGCAGTTCTACCGGCGGTTACGCCTGCAGATTTACTTTTATGGTAAATAAGGACGCTGTGCGACTGAAAATTTAGACAGTAAAAGACCTACTGCCAGTGACAGGTCAAGAACGAAGTGGAAGCTCCTCCCAACCCTTTCCACTTCAGCAGAGTGAACTCTGGAGAGGAAGTCGCCTCCTCCCCTGCGTTCACTCTGCTGAAGTGGAAAGAGGTGGAAGGAACTTCCATTTCGTTCTTGACCTGTCACCGACTATAGTTTGTGGGATTTGCTATTTTTGCCCCTGATCCTCATTGAGGTAAATACCCACTCCGTAGTCCGCTCTTTGCGCGGATACGTCCGGGTCCGTCCATTGACTGCCTTTTTCGGCGCCGGTGGACGAGACACAACACCAACAGAGTGAGTCCGTTTTCGACGTGTTTATTGACTCAAATGCCAACACGCTTCGCTCTTAAACATGAAAAGTCTGGGCGCTAACTCAATTGCCAGCATCGCCCGGTCGGTTTGCCGCGCTGCCGCAATAGACAGATTCACGGGAAGTCGGAGGCCCACAAAGAAAAACCGAGCTCCGTAGCGCCAGGGCCTCCGCCAACGAGAGCCCCTGGCCCTCCTTCGGGGCCAGCTTATGCAGCCTCGGAGATGTGGACGACCCCGGGGAGGCCAATAGCAGTCGCGTCCATTATAACTCTCAAGGGTGTGCCGAAGGGAACAGTCACCCGAAGTGGGCAAGGGAGAACCGGCCCCTTCGGGGAATTTGGCCTCACGGTTCCTTGTATCCGGGAGGCCGATGCCAATGGTGACGGCGACTCCCCGCGGCGTGCTCGAAGCTAGACCTAGATAGGGATATAGGGAACCCCATGGTTCCCACAAGTTTCAAACTAAGGTCACATTGAACCCCAGACTCAAGTAAAAACATGGAGCGTATGCATAAATAATTACGTGCAGGCTATTCGCAGGAATATTTTTGACTCGGTAGCTAAAGAAAATAAACATATTTGTCAAGAAATGAACGACAGGTTCTTCATAACAAGGTCAAGGGAAGACTTCGTCATCCATCCTGCAGACAAGAGTGGCGGAATTT